TCTTTTTAAATTGTTAAAAAATTCAGCCGTAACATTTCCTTTTTGATGCACTAAATGCTTACATAAATTAAACCGACTTGTCAAATAATAATGACATCCACAGATCCATTTATTTATATTAGTAGTATATGTCTGATTAATATTTTGTTTAGATAATTCTTTCTATTCGAATTTAAAATCTTTTACCCATTCGGGCCTTTCACGTCCAATTTGAATTTGTTATAATTTATGCTGCTGATGTATAACAACTTGTTTCATCAAGGTATATACAACTAAATCTACTCTTGGGTGAAAGAATTTGTACAAGAAATCTCTTTTGATTACCTTCCAATGACCTTCAATAAACATGGTTATTTTTAAAATAGAAATCATGTCTGTGCAAGACGATCGTGCCCATAACTTCCATTTTGATTCATTATACCACTCAGTCCAAAAATAGGACCAAAGTGATATTAAAGAATTGTTTTTACAAAATATGTATATTTCCTGAACAGATGTCTCATAAATTAAATCTGCTATTAAAAATTGACCTTCGCTTGTTGAAATAAAAGGATATAAATGCAAGTGTTTTTCTACAATATTCAATACAGTATTTTGAAGATCTTTAGGACAGAACTATGCTGCCTGCTTAATGCCATCAAATGGAAATCTTTTTCCAAGTTCAGAAAGAGGATTAAAGCCCGAAGATCTAGTAGGTTTGTTATTTGATAATCTTGTATTAATAGCTTTTTTAGCATGCCACTTGCATAATTGAATCTTACACTGTGGCCATGTAAAATGAATTGCATTAATCTGTGCGAAGTCTTTATTGATTAAAAAAAATTTGTGTTGTAATCTTCTATCTCGATATATAGTTAAAAATTTTTGCAAGACACCTGTTTGTACACCCTCATTACATCAACTATTGTTTTCAAGAAATAGATATGATAGTGAAAAACCAGTACCATATACTTCTACATATAAAACATATAACTCAAACCCCAAATTATTGGTCTTGTAAGTAGCATCGATTCCAAGTTCATTAATATTAATATTAAATTGAAGTATTTGATTAAGCATTCCAGTGTCAAAAACTAAAAAACGAACAGCTTCTACTTTATATAATATAATATCATACAAATTTTCATAAAGACAAAGATATGCTGATTCTATTGCATCATTATATCATCTATACCGATTTTGTCCCAATTCTACCCACTAATAATGAATTTGCTTCTGTCTAATCGTTAATAATAAATTTTAATCTTTATTAATTAGATGAGCATAAATTTCTCTTGGAAGAAGATTTATATTATCTTTTATAAAATCTTTTATACATTGTAGTGTAGATAAATTTATCAGTTTGCTATGCAATTCTTTGTGATGGAGTATTATTTTAGCTAAGTATTTAGCTTTGTTAATTGAAATTTTCAAGATACCTCTACATTCAAATTTTTCCATTAACATAATATCTCTTTGCTTTAATTTATCAGGATTTTTACATGGCTTTTTTTGTAAAATATTCCATTGAGAACACATATATTAGTAAGTACTTAATTTATTACTATTATATTGATGATTATAAATTCAATTATATTCATCTACATTCTCAATTTGCTCAATGATTTCACTTGCTAGATCTTTATTTGAATCATTATAATTTCTAATATTTATTCTACAATGGAAATGAAAATCCAAATTTGATAGTGCATTTTCTAAAATCTCCGCAACACTTTCATTTAAAAAATCTAATTCAACAATTTCTAACTCGTCATTAAATAGAGTATCATTGGTTGTTATAGATCTTTTCCGTTTATTAGAAGATTTTTGATGACAACAATTGCAAGTTAGAAATTTAGTAGGTATATTATTTTTATCATTTCCTATGAATTCATTAATAGGTTTAAATTTTTTGCAACCATTACAATATAGATCAGTCAAAGATGAATCCATGTCAGATATAATAAAAAAAAAGAACGTTGAAAAAAAATGCAAATAAGCAAAAAATATATTAATACGAATATTTAATTGTAATAATAAAGACTATTACAAATCATTCATAATTTCATAATAAAAAATATTATTCAGAGTAGCATATCTTAGCTATAAAAATCACATGTTCTAGCTTTTTTTGATGGTTACGCTGGTGAAGATGTTTTTTTGTATTTCCACATATGAGCCACCTTTATTTTTCTGTTGACATATGAATAACAACATATATATATATACTTTCATATAATGAACTGATACTTCTTATAATAAAAATTTTTATGTTCCTTATCAGTAACCCGATTTGTCATCCCCAATATCTAGAGAACCTGGCAAACTTAAATTTATTTGGTTACTTTGTACTAAGTTTTTCTTTATTAACTATTTTGACTTTCTGGCATGCCAATAAGTGCCATGCTAGGTTCTTTACCAGTATCGCCATCAAAATGTTGCAGCCATGTAAAGACTGAAAATTCTTTAAAGTTCGTTTGAGATCTATGCTAATGTTAGAATTAGATGAGGTTTAATAGTAAAATCGTTTAAGGAAACTTTTTGTTAGAGCACTATAGGTGGTTTCTTATGCTGCATTTTGAGAAATAAATGATTTTTGACAAAGCGAACATTTGTTTTGAATTTTCTGATTGTGTAATGATCCACCTGATCTTGAAATCCGATTTGTTCTTCACAAAAATTACACGTGACTAGTGATGTAAAAATTTTAATTTTTTTCGTATTATGAAAATGCACATAAATGCACATGGGAATTTTTCGGAATCATTTATAAGTTTTCAGAAGTTTTCAGAATCTATTGAAAATTTCAGCTCATATGGGTCATAGTCTAGCAAAACCACCTTTCGACTTTTTTCAAAGCTTTTGAGTTTTTTTTGTAATACTAAAGTGTAAGTCCTTATTTATATATAGTTCAATTTTTACTTCATGTTGAATTAGTAATTTATTGAAATATATTAATTTGAAGGTAACAATTTTTGAAAATTTTGTGTTCTAAAAATAGATCAATAATCATATAATTAACCAATCGGAAATTTATATTAACTCTTGAAAATTTTGTTAATCATTTAGTATGTACATACATACAGTATGTATATGCATTCTTAGAATTTATGCTTCGTTATTTTTTACTGTTAGCTTATTAAGGTTGATTTTAGGACTATCCTAAAATTAAAATGGTTATTTTCAGATATCCTAAAATTTCTAAATTATCCTAAATATCCTAAATTGTCCTAAATTAAATTTACTCATTATATGTAAAATCTGATTATTTTGAAAAGATATAGATATTTGTCGTATGTACTAACAATTATCAAGTTTATAAATACTTATTTGCAGTTATGTTTGTAAATTGTTCATGTACATAAATGTAAACATACGTACATATGTACAGTATTCTCAGAAAGTTTATCACAGTTACACAAAAAAGCTTAACAAAAATTTTATGCAAATGTATAATATATACAAATTGTGTAAGCCAATTGCATTATTAATCATTACCATATCATTAATCATATGATAAATAAAGAAAAAGAAAGAAATCATTATGTATTATGTCATTAATCATTATCAATAAATAAAGAAAAAAAAAGCAAAAAAATTTTTCATTATTATCAATAAGTTACTTTCGCTAAACCATGCCTAAAAATACTCATTTAACCAACTTTGAAAAAGGACAAATTATTGGAATGTATAATATTGGAGTTACTTTAACATCTATTGCTGAAGAAATAGGCTGTGACTATACTACAGTATCTAAATTCTTAATCCAGGTTAGAGAGTAAGGAAGTATTGAAGCTGCTTTATGTTCAGGAAGACCATTAATCTTTACTAATAAAGATGAACAAAATCCTATTAATGCAATAATTAATTACAATAAGTTATCTCTTCATAAAATATTAAGTAACAATGAAATTAACATTTCACAAGCAATGGCAAGAAACATTTTATACAGAAATGGAATTTGGGGATGTATAATTGCAAAGAAACCAAGTTTGACCCCAAGATAGGCAGAATTGCGACTCTCTTGGTGTATTGCTCACACAAACTGGAGTGTAAGTGATTGGCAGAAGGTTATTTTTAGTGATGAATCATCAGTTGAGATTAGTGGTTGTTCATGACAAAGTTTTGTATAGAGAAAAAATAATGACCATTATAAATCACGTAATATGATGCCAACATTTAGAAGTAGGAGAAGAAGTATAATGGTATGGGGATGTTTTACAGGAAGGGAAAGAGGGCCATTGGCTTTTATGAGAGAAAGGAATGATGTTGGTGCAATAAACTCACAAAGATATGTAGAAGTATTGAATGAAAATTTAATACCTTTTCGACATAAATTAATTGCCAACTATGGAAATGATATAATTTTCCAAGATGATAATGCTTTCATTTATCAGTCAAGATATTCTCAAAATTGGATGAAATCTGAAAATATTCAATGTCTTCCATGGCCAACACAATCACCAGATATCATTCCAATAGAAAACATTTGAAAAATATTAAAAGATAATGTTCAGCAATAAAGACTGCCACCAAGAACATATAAAACATTGAAAATTGCTCTTTTAGAAGAATGGAATATGTTAGACACATCAATTTTCATGAATTTAATCAATAGTATGCCAAATCGTATTGCTGAAGTTATTGCTAATGGAGGCTATAGTTGTAGATACTAATACACTTAATATTTGATATATATTGTAATAATTACATCTTAATGTATTGCATATTATTAATTTGTGTAATGATAATATATTGCTAAATTTGCATATTAACAAAATTCTTGTTAAGTTTTTTGTATAACTGTGATAAACTTTCTGAGGATACTGTACATCTTATATAAAATTTGGTAATAATACATGTAAAAAGTACCATAGATGTATCTATTAATTCTTTCTTACTTTAGCATAGACAAATATTATTTATTATATGTTGCAAAATATGTAATACTATGTATAATTAGCAAATTAAATCACTACATATTCTAATAATTGATAAAACAAATTATAGCATATTATTTTTTATAGTTCAATGCTTAACAAATTTGACAAAGTTGATGAAAAAAGAGTATTTAGGTTCCATTTTGCTTGAGGGTCTTCTGCCAGGTGTAAAATTTCAGTATTATTTAAATCATAGTCTTTTGTTTCGTATACTTCATTATCTAACTCTATAAACCACTCATTAACAACTCTAGTATAATTTAATTCATCTAAAATAAGCTCAGATTCTATTTCTTTATTAGAACTATTAGTTTCTTCGATCATTTGATTTGTACTAAACTTTACATTAACTGATACTTCATTATTCATATTCATATTATTAATTGAACTTTTTTTTTGTGCATGTATTTGCATGTTATTGAGTTTCTTTGAATCTAATCTTTTCATATTTTCTTTATGTTGATTAGCCTGAAGTTGTGCTATTTTAATAACTTTTTTTTCATTAAGACGAACTCGACGCTTTGAATGAATAAAGCTCATATCACTAAACAATTGTTCAACATTTGCTGAATTAACTACAATTAAAAATAATCATTTACTAATAAATGCAAGTTCAGGTGCTTCTTCTTCAACATATTTCCAAAACTGAAGTGGTGTATCCTTAAATTGGTTGGCTTAATAATCATCAAAAGGAAATGTCTTGTCATGATATTGTGTCATTTCATTAGCAATTGTTTGCAGCTTATTTTCTGTCCATATTTCATAATATATTTGAGCATATTTTGCATAATTTTATAAAAGAAATATTACTTGCTTTTAAATTTAAATTGCTTAATCAAAGGTTAGGATTTAAAAAATATGCCAACAAAAGAAGTAGTTGCTTCCAGTCTTTCCAACATTTTTCAAGACATTTTATTATTATTGACTTGAATTCCTAAATTTTTTGATTGTCAGTTTCACTTTTAAAAAAAATTTGACTAAAATGTCCAAAACAAATAAGAATATAATATAGATGAGTATTATTTTTTTCAAGCAAGGCAATTGCTTCCACAAAAGGTTTTAGTATTGCTTTCAATATACAAAGATCATTAAAAAACTTGTGATCATCTAAGATACTTATAACAGATTGAGAAAGAAATAAAGCTTTTTTATCATATATTCGGATACTTGTTCTGTGAGTTACTAAAAGGCTCTATTAAAATAAATTATAAAATTTAAAATTATACTTTAAAATTAAATAATAAAATATAAATTTAAATACTCTTAATGTGCACTCTACTTTTAAAAGAGCTTAAATACAATTAAAATATAAATACTACTAAGTTTCAGTAGGATTAGTGAGAGCAAAATAAGGAATTTTAAGATCATTGCAAGTATTTTTAAGGATTGTTATAAAAAAAAGATGATTTATTAAAGAAAGTAGTAACTACTACAGCTTGCTTAATTGTAGTAAAAAAAGATTGCAATGACTTGAAAATATCAATGATACAAAGATTTGCTTGATGAGCAAAGCAAGGTAGCCAAATTATTGTTAATAATTCTTTCTTAATTTGCAACATGTAGCAGCATATCTACTTGATAAATTCGTGACAACTGCAATAATCTTAACATCTTTTAATTCATCTTCTATTAATAAATCCTTTACCAATTTTATTGTAGCCTTCATGAAGCTACGTTCACTTGAAATATCTCTTGCATCATATATTATTACTTCACCTTATTCTGTAATACAAGTAATGCCAAGAATATTTTGCTTTGCAACATTTTTCCAACCATTGAAGGTAAGAGTAATAACTTTTGCACTTTGTGAAGTTTTTATAGTCTTGGTTTGAAGCTTATTTGCAGTAGTATTAAGAAGTTTTCCTTCTAATGTTCAATGAGATGGAATTGCAGTAGATTTAAGCTGTAAAGTTGAATTAAGAAAATAATAAAGTTCTAATGATTCATTATTTTCTATCTACTGAAATGACCATCCATTAGAGATAGTTGCATTTAAAAGCTTTTCTTGAAATTCTTTAATTCATTTGTCTGTTAAAGATTTTAAAAGGTAATTAGAAATCTCATTTTTAAACCATTCTTCATTATAATTAGACTTAAGGCATTTGCTTAAAACTGAACTTTCTGAAGCATTACCAATATTGTTCACTTCATCTTGAAACTCTTGCCTTAAATCACTAGGAGCATTTAAACAAGCAAGAAGATGCTAAGTATAATATCATGATTTGCCTATTACAATTTCTTTTCTTTGTTTTAAATTTTCAAAAGAATTTTCATTTTTTTTTAAACAGAAGGTGCATGCCATTTCTTTATCTGATGAATTCCAAAACTTTGGCTTTCCATCATCTTCTGGAACCTCAACAAAAAATTCAGAAATTGTACACTTTGGACATCCCCATTTATTAGACATTATAAAAGTTAAGTTTGTATATATAATTATAAAAAAAAAACGTAATAATTTATATAAGTTTGTTTTTTAAACGATTAAATATTTTATAAATTAAAACCAAAAAGCATATAGGTTAAGTAATATCATTTATTATTTACCATTTCACTATAATTTTTACTTATGTCTCTAATAATTTTTCTTTACTAATCTATGTTCTTTGTTTGCTTTTACACAAGTATTATTTGGTTGTTACTTAAATGAAATAGAAATAGTATCGCTTCATCTTCTGCTTTTACAAAATAAAATTTCACATTACTTAAACAAAAATAGAAATTCAATTAATCATAACCTTATAACCAAATGCCTTATTTATTTAATAACAAATAATTATGCACTATTTATTATATTATTTTGTGTATGTCAAGTCTGTCAAATAAACTCATTATTACTATTTACTATTATGACCCAGATTAGTACCCAGATTAGTACCCTGTAATCTAAGAATCCACCCCTACTTATATTAATACATTTTTTCTAGTTAAAAGATACAATTTTATTGGCCCAATATCATGTGATCTAACTCTTTGCAATTTTTAAATACCTGATTTTATTTTCAGAGCTATCCTAAATTGTCTGTCCAAAAATCCTAAAATTCGAAAATACCCTATCTGCCAACCTTAGACAAGAGTATGGGATTAGTAATAAATTTTAAAACCTAAAATTTACAAGTGCACATTACACTTACAATGTTTTAACTAACTCATGGGCTTTTGTTGCCCATTCGTCACCAGGCTTAATT